ACTTAGATTCCTATGAAAGAGATTTGGAAAAGCTCATTGATCAGACACTTAGCTTCATCGGCATCGACAACTTTCTCCTTAATTAATTTGTTGAATCTAGCATCAAATCTATCCTTATATAGACGATTCAATCATTGCTCTGCTTATCTGTATGAGGGTCTAATCGTGAAATCTCAGTAAATACTAACTCTTACTTATTCGAGTCTAGCATTAGAAGAACTTGCAAGTCTGACCCATCTCCAGAATAGATAGAACACATTAACTCTTTTCATGCTTGGGATGAATTAGATACCTTTTTCCTAAAAAATCAACATTGTTAACTATATCATTGAATAAAAAGTAACAGTAGAAGCAAAAAAGTTTGAACATTTCAGCAGAGTTGGCACAAGGTGCCAATATATTATACCATGATCATTTAAGATTCTATTTATAATAATTAAAGATGGGATCTACAACTCTGGAAACTGCATGAATCACGTAGGAGTTTTCGCTATACTCTTTTTCATCTAATAATGGTCTCAAACTTCAACAATTTTTCCTATGAATTAAGCAGATGATTAATTTAACCAAGAAATGCAAAATATGATTAATTGTATTATTCTACTTACAGCCCTTCTAGTAGATCAAATGTTGTTAATAAAACCCTATGTTCACCCAAATTATTTTCGTCTCGTGAGAATGTAATAGGGTTAACAAGAGCCAGATCGAAATTGGGACCCAATAACTCATATATATTAATAAATTCATCCAGCATGGTGATCATTTTTTCTGAAAATTTCGGTTTATTTAATTCAATTTCCTCAAGAACCTGTTTAGTCTCCACTGATAACTTATCTGCCACGCTATCTACTCCTTCAGAAATATCTATAATTCTGAATGCTATTGGATCACCTGAATCAATAGAAGTCAAATCAAGCTGTTCTAAACACCCACGAACTTCATTTAGCACTCTCTCAACTTTCATGAAGCAACCGGCATTTACTGCATTAATCTATAAAGAATTCGATATTAGGACTTCAAAAAATAATAAGATGTGAGAATGCATATTTGTATTTTTTACTTACACAATTATCGATTATTTCGGCAATATTTTTCTGGATAATCTCCTGATTCTGCTATCTTTCTTGTTCTTCACGCTAAATCGGAAGTATTTTTGATTAGCCAAATATAATGAATATCATCAAAAATAGATCAATAGAATTTACCCGTCTTTTTTCTGCCTGATATGCTCCACTAAATATTTCTTGTTGTTGTTCCTATAAGTATGTAATAGATAGATTAAACCACTAGAATATTTTGATGAATATACTATAAAATATTTTTCAAAAATCAGAATTGCTATAGATGTGTTTCATATTTAATATACATTAGTGAGTTAATACGCCAACAGACGATGACGAAATACTCGAAGGCATTGCCTGTATCGAATTTAGCAAATTGCCCGGATGGTGAAACTCATACACCTAAATTCTTTGATGAATACAGAGTCGACTTTCTGCAGAGCTAAGGCGTATACTTATAATTGTTGTGTACATCCGGATACAGGGCATTAACATAGGCCTATGTCTATTTAACCACACTATTGGAAATATCATTTTATTCGATAGAAATATAGATTGATTATCATTTTCAACTACTCATCTGGGGTATCTTTGAAAACCTCTAAGATATTTGTTCCAACTTTTTTACAATGGTACCTAATTTTTGATGCTTATACATTGTTATAGCATCGCTGAGCTCATCAGTATATTGCTTTACTGCCGTTTTAAGAATGCTCTTTCTCAATAGCTCTATAGTTGAAAAATACACTTGAGGTAACCACGACTTAAAGTACAATTTTCTATATGTCTCACTACGGTTGTAGTAAAAGAAGTTAGTGGTGTTAAACATTTTGAAAGTAATAGGTATTAGTTCGATTTTTTAATCACTGTAAAGCGATAAACTTCCATAACTTCATTATACTCCTCTTTATAAATAGATTTCACTCTTCTCTAAATAGCAGTACAAATAACAAGAAAATAGCAGAAAAAGGACCTATATGCGCTCTATGCTATTTTTTTACATTCTACATTACACTATGGAATATATGTTGGAGATCTCGAGATCTTTAGCATTACAGCGTAGAGAAAGATCTCTATGTATTATATTTCGCCCGACCACCTAGTAGAGCCTTTATTTTTTATTATAAAGACTATAAAAGTGAAAATATATATGTTTTGGTTAGAATAAATAAATTTTTCTACTAGCTTTGGAATAGATCTAAAGCTTAGATATTATTTTTTCTATAAACGTTGAAAAAAATAAAATTCAAAAATTTACAAAAAGATTTGGTTGCACAGATAACGTATGTGTTATGAGAAAGTTGTCGATGCCGATGAAGCTAAGTGTCTGATCAATGAGCTTTTCCAAATCTCTTTCATAGGAATCTAAGT